CTTGCTAACTACCTGCTCGCTAGTTTCAGTCATTGGTGTCAGGCAGTGGAGTAGCATTGACTAGTCACGTGATAGCACCTGAGGTTGGAGCTGCCCTCCCTACCTCACTTTCTCTCAATATCTGCTTCTTGTCCTGGAAGTATCTCTGTTGTATCTCGTCTCTCTGGCTGTTCATGATTTAGATTCTGTTTATAGTAGAATATGATTTCGTTGGAAAGCCGAAACATTCTTCTTGTAACTCTGTGTTCAGACTTACTGATTTTAGACGTTGTAGTCAGGGATTTGGTTATGCTGAACTTAGATTCAGTATTAAGAGAGTTTTATGCCTTTTATGGAGGATCTGCTGATGGTTCCCAGTTAGGGTCGTTATTTTGTCTGCTTGTTACTGACATTGTGCTGCTGCTTGGTACATTATTGCTGTTTGGAGAATGGTTCTTCTTATTGTTCAAGCAAGCTGTTTGATGGCTTTGATGGTCGAGAAGTTGTATTGTTTCTGAACTTGTTGTCAGTCACTGTTTAAGTCTAAGTCGAGTCGAGTCTTTCTGAGACATAACGAGCACTTTGAGCATATACACACATTTTCACACACACTTGTATACACTAGTATTATTCTTATATTTGATATTAATATACCAGATGGTACTTGTGAGCCGTACTGTTATGAAATGTGCCCTCAGCACTATACTGCTATATGTATAATTTAACATTGAACTGCAAGAGAAGTGTGGGAGCTTATATCCTAAATTATATTAAACTTATTTACTTTGATTTTGTCCACCTAGACAACTTTGTTATTGAAGATCACAAATTTTATTTCGTTGGTTTAAGTTCAACCAGTTGGAATCCCGAAGCACTATAAAAATGTGTCTTAACTTTAGGGGATAACTGGACTAGAATTTATTCTAACAAACCGTTACAAAACCAGAAGCATGCTAGATGCTAGAGGGGAATCAATAAGTTGACTTTCTGGTATTCTCTGGAGATGTCTATACTTTATGGATACTGCATTTTGTAACGAGGCATACCTTCAGCTCGCCCCACACTACCCACCAGGCTGGGCCTGCCCTCAGGGCCGCCACAACACACTGCCTGTAACCCAAGGACTCAATAAAGTTATACTCTCTTAGTGTACTCGTGGCAACCCTGCTTATCAAAGGGGAAATGTTGCATCTCCTGCCAAGTCTTTTGCTTTCGTAGGGAGCGATTTTTGTACGAAAGTTTGGTATTAATCCCTCTAGGATTTTCCTGGTGTATATTATCATGTATCTTTCTTGTGTATGTTCCAGGGAATACAAATCAAAGGACTTCAACTGTTTCAAGTAATTTAGGTGCTTTATCGTACTTATGTGTGCCTTGAAAGTTCTCTGTACACTCTCCAGATCAGCAATTTCGCCTGCCTTGAAGGGAACAGCAGTATTCCAGCCAAGAGAGAAAAAAATAAGCGACATGAAGAGAATCGTCATGGTCTTGGAGTCCCTAGTCTTGAAGGTTCTCATTATCCATCCTATCACTTTTCTAGCAGATGAGGTAGATATATTGTTGTTGTCTTTGAAAGTGAGATCCTCTGACATTATCACTCCCTAGTCCTTCACATTATTGTTTCGCTCTGTTGTGTGGCTAAAATTTGTTGTATACCTTGATACAGTTTTAATTTTCTCAAGTTTTCCATATTTGAGTAGTTGAAATTTCTCTTTATTGAACTTCATATTGTTTTCTGTGGCCCATTTAAAGATTTGGTTGATGTCTTCTTGGAGTCTTGCAGTGTCTTCGATGGAGGTCACTGTCACGGCAATTCGGGTGTCATCTGCAAAGGAAGACACGGAGCTATTGCTTACATCTCTGTCTAAGTCAGATAGGAAGATGAGGAACAGGTTGCGGGCGAGTACTGTGCCTTGTGGAATAGAGCTTTTCGCTGTAGCCACCTCAGACTTTACTTTACTTTACTTGCTATTACTCTTTCTTTTCTATTTTTCAGAAAGTTATAGATCCATCTACCAACTTTTCCTGTTATTCCTTTATCACACATTTTGTGTGTTATTACACCGTGATTGCACTTGTCGAAGGCTTTTGCAAAGTCTGTGTATACATCTGCATTTTGTTTTTGCTCTAAAGCATCCAGGACCTTGTCATAGTGGCCCAGTAGCTGGACCACTATTACTCAACCCAGGTGTGATCTGGGTTGAGTAATTGATAGATATCTAGGTGGTTGGCGATTTTGCTTCTTAGAACCCTTTCAAAGACTTTTATGATACGGGATGTTAACACTATCGGTCTGTAGTTCTTTGCAACTGTTTTATTGCCACCTTTTTAGTGACTGTGGTATGACCCCTGTGTCCATGCTCCCTCTCCACAAAATGCTGAAGGCACATGAAAGGGTCTTCTTGCAGTTCGTGATGAACACGGAGCTCCACGAGTCCGGGCCTGAGGCATAGTGCATGGGCATGTCATTAATTACCTTTTCGAAGTCTTGTGGTGTTAGGATAATATGAGAGATTTTTTAAATGACCAAATTTTGGGTCTCGGTGTTTCATCAGGGGCCATGTCTAGGCCTGTTTTGGCCCCTTCTGTAACAATATGTCGAATCAAGCTCTGGTCTAGTTGTCCATGAACAGAGATGCCATTTTAATTTGGGGATTATAATTAGAGGATTGATCAGACTAAATAAAATTTATAAAAACATAAGAACATAAAGAAGGAACACTGCAACAGGCCTACTGACCCATGCGGAGCAGGTTCATTCCCCTCCCCCCCCCAGATTAGTCCAATGACCCACCCAGTTTGAACATTAAAATGGTATAAAATACCGACAGATTGTTAGGTAAGACACGTATGCAACAGTTAGGTATCTTTATTGTGAAACGTTTCGCCTACACAGTAGGCTTCTTCAGTCAAGTACAGAAAAGTTGATAGAATCAGAAGATACTTGAAGACGATGTAATCAGTCCATCACCCTTAAAGTTTTGAGGTGGTCAGTCCCTCAGTCTGGAGAAGAGCATTGTTCCATAGTATGAAACAATATGGAGAAGAAGTGACAGGATGGAGCTTTTATAGCGCCAAGAGGTGAGACTAGGAGAGGTAAGAACTCAGATGTTGAGAGGTCCCTCTCAAATCCAGCCCCTCTCACTAGTGGAAGTTGTCGAAGTTGATTGCAGGTCTGTACCAAGATCCCCTTTGTGTTGCGTGCCCTGACAGATTGAACATTAAATGGTATAAAAAACACAATTGTTAGGTAAGACACGTATGCAACAGTTAGGTATTTTTATTGTGAAACGTTTCGCCTACACAGTAGGCTCTTCAGTCAAGTACAGAAAAGTTGATAGAAGCAGAAGATACTTGAAGACGATGTAATCAGTCCCATCACCCTTAAATTTTTGAGGTGGCCCAGTCCCTCAGTCTGGAGAAGACATTGTTCCATAGTTGAAACAATATGGAGAAGAAGTGACAGGATGGAGCTTTTATAGCGCCAAGAGTGAGACGTAGGAGAGGTAAGAACTCAGATGTTGAGAGGTCCCTCTCAAATCCAGCCCCTCTCACTAGTGGAAGTTGTCGAAGTTGATTGCAGGTCTGTCCAAGATACCCTTGTGTTGCAGTGTCTGACAGATTTGAACATTAAAATGGTATAAAATAACGACAGATTGTTAGGTAAGACACGAAATGCAACAGTTAGGTATCTTTTTTGTGAAACGTTTCGCCTAAAACAGTAGGCTTCTTCAGTCAAGTACAGAAAAGTTGATAGAAGCAGAAGATACTTGAAGACGATGTAATCAGTCCATCACCCTTAAAGTTTTGAGGTGGTCAGTCCCTCAGTCTGGAGAAGAGCATTGTTCCATAGTATGAAACAATATGGAGAAGAAGTGACAGGATGGAGCTTTTATAGCGCCAAGAGGTGAGACGTAGGAGAGGTAAGAACTCAGATGTTGAGAGGTCCCTCTCAAATCCAGCCCCTCTCACTAGTGGAAGTTGTCGAAGTTGATTGCAGGTCTGTACCAAGATACCCTTGTGTTGCAGGTTGTTACTCACAGTGAAGAGCCTATCAATAAAAGTAAACATCCTACCTATAAACATAGCTAACAATATAGAGGCAGATAATAGTATAAAGCACAATATCATTATTTTATCCATTAATAATGATATGGGCAATATAGTATTAAGTTAATAGGAAATTATATACTTATAACATTAATTATTAACACTGGGCTCAAGCAGAGGACGCAACACTCGGTCATAAAAAAAATCATTTAGATTGTCGACCCTGAGTCTGGTTAATTGGTCACTGAACACCGAGTCGTACTGGGACTTTAGTATCTCACTCATATCTTTGCTGTCATCTGTGTAGGTCCCATCTCGTCTAAGAAGGGGTTTAATACTGGATGTTGTTTTGCCCTTAGATTTGACATAAGAGAAGAAGTATTTTGAGTTTCTTTCAATTTCCTTTATGGCTTTAAATTCTTCCTGAGACTCTTGTCTCCTGTAAGATTCCATAAGCTTAAGTTTGACATTTGCTCTTTCTCTGACCAGTGCCTCCCTTCGTATTTCAGATATAATGGCCCCTTTCAGCAGCTCTGTGATTCTTTGCCTTCATCTCTAGAGAAAGCGTCTCTCTCTTTCTAGTTTACATCATCTCTTTCTTCTTCTTTATGGAATATACATCTTAACAATGCAAAACAAGCCACGAGGGGGGTGGAAATCTTTAGGATAATATCTTTCACATATCTCCATACGTCATCAGGGAGGTAGCAAACAGTATGCTATTAACAATAAATAAAATTGAAATAAGTAGATGAGTAATTTCATTTACACACGGGTACACGTAAGTATAATTATCAAGCATAGTGTAAATTACCTATGGTAACCCCCCAAAAGTCAGATAAATTGAATAATAATTCGGAAAGCGAGCATAAGTAGGAAGGAGTAGGAGAAAGAATCTTGAGGGTGAGGAAGGGGAAAGAGGAATGAGAGAAAACAGTGGTGGTAATTATAAGGCGGTGGAGTTTACTCACCATTGTAAGGCAGGAGCAGGTGTGGTTGCTGGCCAGGCTGGGTCAGTACAAAACAAGCTCCTCGGGTTTGTATACTCTTGGGCTCCACTCGCGGGTACCGTGGAGCACATGCCTGGTGATGATCTTAATATTGGTGGTGGTCGTTCTGCTTGTATGGATGGTGGTAGTGGTATTGGTGTTGTGTTTGTGGTGGTGGTGTGGTGGTGGTGGTAGTGGTAGTGATGTTTGTGGTGGTGGGAGTAGCGATGGTGGTGGTGGTAGTGATAGTGTGGTGGTAGTGTTTAGTGGTAGGAGTGGTGGTGGTAGTGATAGTGGTAGGAGTAGTGGTGGTGGTAGTGGTGTTGGTGGTGATGGTGGTGTTGGTGGTGGTAGTGGTAGTGATGGTGGTGGTAGCGGTGATGGCGGAATCAGTAATGGTGCTTGCAGTGATGATGGTGACGAGAGGGTAATGCTTCTCACTATCACAGAGTACACAACACAAGTGTGAAACTCACACTAGATCAAGCACGTTCAGAAGATAGAGAAGGTTACATGAGAGGACCATATGTAAGACGAAAGTAAAAGAATTAAACCTGGTGGCATTAGATGATAGAAGGGCCAGGGGAGACATTATTACGACGTACAACATTCTTAGAGGACTTTTTAGGGTGGAGATTGAAGGCTGAAGACATTAGACATGTCTCCACATGTTAAGGAATATATCCTAGCACTGTCACTGGCAGAATAAGAGGCTGTTACTATAAGCTAAATAAGTATACATGTTGAGAAGATACCAGGAAGTTTTGAGCAGAGAGTTAGAACAATACAGTGGATTACAAATATAGTGTCTGAACAATACTATAATCGTTCATTACAAACACAATAAGGAGTTAGAATCATGTGCGATACTTGGGTTACATTATTTGAAGATTGATGGGCGAAATGATTTCAAATAAAGATACCCACATGTTACAAGAGGAGTTACAACCACAGGAAACTTTGTACATGTATATACATACATATATATACATACATATATATACATACACACACACACACACACACATATATATATATATATATAAAATATATATATATATATATAAATATATATATATATATATTATATATAATATATATATATATTATATATATATATATATGTGTGTGTGTGTGTGTGTGTATGAAATGTATACTTTGTGATAAGCCAAATACCAGTGACAGGACACCACAAGATTACTTGTTATTGTAGTTAAACAGACACATGAGGTACCAGAGACGTAGAGGGTTAAGATGCTGGAGGCGGTGCTGGAAAGTTTCGTGCACCAACGTGTTAGGGACAAAATCAGAGAGGGAGGAGAGGATGAACCAGCAAGGCTGTTCCCTGTATTCACCTTCAACAGTTTAGACTTCGGAGTTATTACACGTGAAAGACCACTCGGCACTAGTGATCATGTGATCCTGAGATTCAAGTACATAATAGAGTTAATAATGGAGACTTCACTGGATTGAGACAATTCCTGCATGAGTTGCGATGGAAAAGAGGGCTAGAAGGAAATAAAATAATGAAATGATCGAACACGTGACCACTAAGTGCAGGGAGGCAGAGGAGAAGTTCATACCAAAGGGTAACAGAAAAAATAGTAAGACCAGAGTGAGCCCATGGTTTAACTGGAGATGTATAGAGGCCAAAACCAAGTGTGCTAGAGAATGGAAAAAGTATAGAAGGCAAATGATTCTAGAATACAAGCAGATGAGCAGAAGAACCAGAAACGAATATGCAGGGATAAGGAGAGAGGCCCAGAGGCAATACGATAACGACATAGCATCAAAAGTCAAATCTCATCCATAGTTGTTATACAGTCACATTAGGAGAAAAACAACAGTCGAAGATCAGGTAAACAGGCTGAGGAAAGAAGGAGGGGAGCTCACAAAGAGTGACAAGGAAGTATGTGATAAACTTAACACAAGATTTAGAGAAGTATTAACTATAGAGGCAGAAATGCTTCCAGCAACCCATGGTGGCAGGGTGCACCAGCAGGTGTTGGACACAGTACACATAACCAAGGAGGAGGTGAAGAAACTGCTTGGTGAACTAGATGCCTCAAAGGACGTGGGCCCAGATAACATAACTTAATGGATCCTGAGAGAAGGAGCAGAGGAATTATGTGTGCGGTTAGCAGCATTCTTCAATAAATCTATCGAAACTGGGCAGTTGCCTGAGGCGTGGAAGACAGCGAATGTAGTTCTAATTTTTAAGAAAAGAGATAGATAGGCAGTGCTGAACTACAGACCAGTATCACTGACTTTTACAGTATGTAAAGTCATGGAAAAGATTATCAGGAGAAGAGTGGTGGAACACATTGAAAGAATTGGGCTCATGCATGACAATCAGCACGGCTTCAGAGAAGGGAAATTCTGTGCCACAAATCTACTTGAGTTCTACGATAAGGTAACAGAAGTAAGACAAGAGAGAGAGGGATGGGTAGATTGCATCTTTTTGGACAGCAAAAGGGCTTTTGACACAGTACCACATAGGGGACTAGTGCAAAAATTAGAGGAACAGGCAGGAAAAATAGGGAAAGTACTGCAATGGATCAGTGAATACCTGATGGGAAGGAAACAATGAGTATTGGTACGTGATGAAGTGTCAGATTGGGCGCATATGTCGATTGGGGTTCCTCAAGGGTCAGTCCTAGGTCTGGTGCTGTTTCTTGTATATATGAATGACATAATGGAAGGAATAGGTTCAGAAGTGTCGCTGTTCGCTGATGATGTGAAACTGATGAGGAGAATACAAGTGGATGAGGATCAGGTACAATTACATGGGGAGCAGGACAGACTACAGGTCTGGTCCGACAAATGGCTCCTGGAGATTAAACCCAGTAAGTGCAAAGTCATGAACCCTGGTGAAGGACAAAGAAGACCACAGACGGAGTACAAGTTAGGGGATCTTGGGGTAAGCTTTATAATGAACACGTCCCCTGAGGCACACATCAATAAAAGACTGCTGCAGTATATGGGTGCATGGCAAACCTGAGAATAGCATTTTGACATCTGAGTAAGGAGTCATTCACGATACTGTACACCGTGTACGTCAGGCCCATACTGAAATATGCAGCACCAGTATGGAGCCCACACATAGTCAAACACGTCAAGAAATTGGAGAAAGTGCAAAAGTTTGCAACAAGATTTGTCCCGGAACTGAAGGGTATGTCTTACGAGGAGAGATTAAAGGAACTCAATCTGATGACACTAGAGGATAGAAGGGATAGGGGGTACATGATAATGATGTATAAAATACTGAGAGGAATTGACAGGGTGGACAGGGCTTGAATGTTTCAGAAATGGGATACAGGAACATGGGGCCACAATTGGATGCTGAAAATCCAGATAAGTCATAGGGATATTAAGAAGGGATATTAGAGTTGTCAGAAAGTTAAATAACCTGGGGAGAGAAAAATTGGAAGCAAGTTCCCCACATAGCTTTAAGAAGAGGTATGATAAAGCTCAGGGAGCAGGGTGAGAGTGATTTAGTATCAACCATTGAAAAGGCAGTGCCAGGATCTATGAATCGACCTCTGCAATCACATATAGGTGAGTACACCAAAAACACATAAACACACAACACACACACACAACACACACACACACACACACACACCCAAAACACAACACACACACACAACACACACACACGCACACCACACACACACCACACACACACAAAACACACACACACACACACAACACACACACACACCACACATGGCTGAGGTGGCAAGAAGAGCTCACTCGAGCAGACCAAAATTACTGTAATGGGCGATTTCAACCACAGGGAGATCGACTGGGGAAAAACCTGGACCACATGGGGGTCCCGAAACATGGGGAGCCAAGATGATGGATGTGGTACTTGAAAACCTCATGCATCAACATGTCAGGGACACAACCAAGAGAGAGGGGAGAGAGCCAGCAAGACTGGATCTTGTGTTCACCGTGAGCAGTTCAGACATGAGGACATCACTTACGAGAGGCCCCTTGGAGCTAGCGATCATGTGGTTCTGAGTTTGACTTATAGTAGAGTTACAAGTGGAAAGGTAACAGGAACTGAAGGGGACAGGCCAAACTAAAAAAGGGGGGACTACACAGGTATGAGAAAATTCCTGCAGGAGGTCATGGGACAGAGAAATGGTAGGAAAATCAGTAAACGAGATGATGGAATATGTGGCAACAAAGTGCAAGGAGGCAGAGGAAAGTTTGTTCCCAATGGAAACAGAAATAAAAGGAAGACCAAAACGAGTCCTTGGTTTACCCGAAGGTGTAGGGAGGGAAAAACTAAGTGCAACAGAGAATGGAAAAGGTACAGGAGGCATAGGACCCAGGAAAACAAGGAGATTAGTAGAAGAGCCAGAAACGAGTATGCGCAGATAAAGGAGGGAGGCCCAGCGACAGTATGAAAACGACATAGCATCGAAAGTCAAATCAGCCCCGAAACTGCTGTATAGCCACATTAGGAGGAAGACAACAGTCAAGGCCCCAGGTGATAAGGCTGAGGAAAGAAGGTGGAGAACTCACAAGAAACGATCAAGAGGTATGTGAGGAGCTCAACACGAGATTTAAGGAAGTATTTACAGTAGAGACAGGAAGGACTCTGGGGGGACAGACCAGATGGGGACACCAACAAGGAATACACCAACAAGTGTTGGACGACATACATACAGATGAGGAGGAGGTGAAGAAACTGCTAAGGGACATCGATACCTCAAAGGCAATGGACCGGACAACATCTCTCCGTGGGTCCTTAGAGAGGGAGCAGATATGTTGTGCGTACCACTTACCACAATCTTCAACACATCCCTGGAAACTGGGCAACTACCTGAGGTATGGAAGACGGCAAATGTAGTTCCCATTTTCAAAAAAGGAGACAGAAAAGAGGCACTAAACTATAGACCTGTGTCATTGACGTGTATAGTATGCAAAATTATGGAGAAGATTATCAGGAGGAGAGTGGTGGAGCACCTGGAACGGAACAGGAGTATAAATGCCAACCAGCACGGATTCACGGAAGGCAAATCCTGTGTCACAAACCTTCTGGAGTTTTATGATAAAATAACAGAAGTAAGACAAGAGAGA